AGACATATGTTCTCTGTAGAGGATGTTAGCTTTGTTTCACTTAGAAAATCAACATGTCAGTTGACCCAGGGTGCCCAAACTTTTGCATGAGACTGAACATTGAAGGTTAAGAACATTTTTTCTTTCTCCTGTAAAGTTTTACAGGAGTTTTTTAATCCTTTCCCTCGTTTTCCACTCCAATAACTCTGCAGCAGACTGTCTGCAGGAACAACACTCCATAGAACTTCAGAGTGAATGGGCAGCTAAACTGCTGTAGGATGGAAAAGTTATATGAAGATGAATTGAAACTGGTACATTAAACCTTTTATGAACATAAAAGATTTCCTTTGGTAAAAAATTGTTTTGGAGAATTCCTCAAATTTTTGCTAAATTTCTGCATAGGTAAATGTAAACAAAGCACTGTACCTTTATAGAGAAACATGCTAACCTGGATTTCTTCACAGTGGTGGTGATGGGAACCAGGGGTCACAATTGGTGTGTTTATATGCACTCAATAATCTGACTGTGATCAGATTTCTGCAGTTATCTAATTATTTAAATGGCCATGTAAACATCACACTCTGATTTCTTAGATCAAAGTAAGGTCTAGAAATCCAATTAAGAAATCTGACAAAGAGGCTGGATATCAGTTTAGTAATCAGATTTCTCAGTGCATGTAAACTCTTACTCTGATTTCTTTCGGATCTCTCAGTCTGTGCATGTGTGAAAATCTCTCCAACTCAAAGTTCTTTACTATCCAAACCCACCAGTGAACCAACACGAGTTTTAATATGTATTGTAATATGCTGATGATGGTAAAATGGTGATAAATCTGACAAATTTGGGGACTATTTTGCTTTTAACCACCCTCCGTGTAGCTCTTCCATCATGACCATATTTAAAAAAAAAAATGTTTTGGGCCTAAAAAAAAAAGAAATAAAAAAAATAACCTTCAAAACTACTATAAATAATGTCCCAGGAATCCTGCAGCATATTCATAACCATTTCATCAGTGAGGGGGCTTTTATTAATCTCTTCAGCATCTGAATTACTTTGTTTACATCTACTTTATTCAATTATGGGCAATTTTTGAGTAAAAATGCTGAAAATCCGCTGTAAAGGTTGAGAGACAGATGTGAAGAATGTGCGTGAGAGAGAGATTTCATGGTTATTCAGGGAGAGATTAGAGAGCTTGGAGGATAATAATTATCGCTGCAGCTGACAGCTAGCTAATAAGCATAAAACCCGAATGAAAGGATAGTTTACGAGAATTAGAAATGAGTTACGTGCTTAAATGAGCGTTCCTCACTGATGATTCTTTAGTTGCGCTATTCTGTCAGACAGATAAGAGACAATTCGCTCTTCAGTCCAGCGTCCACTCAGCATGGCCACTCGGATGCTGCCCCATTTGCATGTAATCAGCAGAAGTAGATGTTTGATGTGGCGAGTGTGAGCGTGCATTTCTGTACGGGTTTGTTAAAACTCGACTGATTGAGACATTGAGAGGGCGCTAATTGTATGCGTGTGCCCGTCCACTCCAGGTGATGGACATGGCTGCTGATTGGTGCGGAGAGGCTCAGGGATGGCTTGGCTCAGGCTAGGCTAATCTGGCAGCTTTGCTAAACTTCTCTGGCTAGCAGAATCACACCAGCATGTGCTCTAGAGAAGCTGCAGCAGCCCACACAGTCCTGTTCACCTCCCAAACAGCAGCAGGAAACACTCTCTGAAGGCCCTCGCTAGTTAGGCCTGTCTTGATTCTCGCCAGCAATTAGCAGTGATATCTATTATTGGATTATACTCAGCCGTTAGTTCCGACCACAAAATCAGGTCTGGGTTCCCAAAGTATTTCAGTACATGACGTTTCTTAAATGGTAGACCGAGCGGGACTTCTCAATTTCTTACTGCTGTTTATTACTTATATGCTACACTGAGATAACCAAGGAGGCTAACTAGTGCTAAAATGAAAACTAGCAAAAGTTTTTATCTTACATGTGACAGTCAATATGCTACAAGCTAATGCTAGCTGAGCAAGCTAAGGTCAGCATTTCTCACTGCTCGTCTGCTCGGATATGTCCTCATCCTCCTTAAGTAGGTTTTTCATTGTTGTCTTATTGGTGCCAATTAGTTTTGCAATCTTAAAATTGCTACATTACTAACATTAAAACCAGCACTGAACTCTGTAGAGCTGCCTGTTGTGTCAGCCAATACCATTTAATCTCTCAAGGCTAATTTCAATTGCCGTTCCACCATAAATACTGCGGCGGTTACACGCCAGCACCCATGCAGGTGTCTGAATGTAAGTGCCACATCATTTAAGGTGGAATGGGAAAAAAGAATACGAAGCTAGCTTAAGTTTCATCTAATCTCTGTCGAGACTGTTAGAATTAGCAAACCAGGGCTGTGCCTCTTGAGGTGAGTGCGGATGTCGCTGTGTTAACCCCTAAATTACTACAGCTAGACGATAGGATGTAACAATTACAGTTTGTCTGAGCTTTGTTGTGCTTAAATGCACAAGTTTAGATATCAGCTTACAGTAACTGACCCGACATGTTATCAGCCCACCAGGGTTTCTCACAACTCTCTCAGTTTCCAACTCCGGTGTTTAGTGCGCTATTTCTGTTTATTCTATTTATATTAAATAAAATGTGTCATAACATTTTGATGCGTTTTATTTTACCCCTACCCCTTGTTTTCATGTGTCACCTTGCCCATTTGGAACTGATTTACAAGGGGTAGTGGTTGAAATCTTCCCCCACGAAATGGGACCCTCAAATAAAAGAGCATTACTTCATTAACAGCTACCAGCGCTGCTCTGTAGGCGACCCTGCCAGTCTGCAGTGACAGCAGAGGAGGGTAAAGTTCAGCTCCTCACTGCTGGGCTTTAGTTACGTTTAGGGCATCATATGCCTTCAAAGAGGGGTTAAGCTGAAATCGGCTATTCGCCAGCTTCTTGTTCATAACACACTTGGAGTGTGCATCTGAAAAAACTCTGTTTGGAGGGCCATGTAGCCCTAACACTTCGCCCTACCCCTCTGTCTTAACACGAAATGGGACACCCTACCCCTAGGTGTGAAAATGTGCAAAACAGAGGGCTAAGGGCTAAGTGGTAGGGGCAAGGGGTGAAATGGGATCGGGCCGTAGTTTAATAGTTTAGCATTTTACACAGGGCGCAAGTGCAGCGATTTTCCAAAATCGTGTTCATTTCTGTCATCGAGTAAACCAGCCTAGAGCCGGAGATTCTAATCCAGGCGTAGCACCAAATTCAAACCATAATAAAACACCTCTTCTTCTACTTAGAAACCTGAGTGTGGTATTGATTGAAAGGTTAGAATCTGCACCCTCAAGAGAATCTCTGACTTCTTTCATTGAGCTACAAGTGAGAAATAATTCATATCGATTTACATCGTGGTTTTCTAATCTCTGCTTTTGCGTGCCTTTGTTATTTGTGATATTGCAGTAAGACCTGACAGCTTGATAGTTGCTGCACTACTTGATGGCTGTTAGATGATGTGGCTGCAGCCCCAGCAGGGTCTAATAAGGGCCAGGCTGTAGGAGGGTTTGCTACATTACAGTCCAGACACCCCACACTATCTGTCTCTCTCTCTCCCTCTCTCCTGGAGCAGGTGCTGGCAATTTCCACTGTTAAATTATGCAGATAATGCCCAGCCCAGGTATCTAATTAAGATGAAGGAGGGGGTGGTGATAAGATCTGGAGTTCTGCTGCTGGCTTCAATCACTGCTGCCTGTCAATTACACACACACACACACATGCACACAGTGTCCTCAGAGAGTGAGTGCCTGCTTGTGGCTAGCAGGGAATCGTCCATCTGTCCTTCTTCACCTGTTGCCAGATAAACACATCGCGCTCTGTCCTGTTTGTTAGCACCATTGCAAGCTGACTCCTGAGCACGTTTAGCAGCGTTTAGCTGGATTACTTTAGTCAAGCTTCATGCATTTGTCAGATTCAGGTTATCTCTCAGCTACGAAGTGTTGGTGAATTTTCTCTCTTTGGTCTACTTTTTACTTCCATTCACTGGCCACTTTATTAGAAACAACTACCTTGTACTGCATGAAGTGGCTTTACATAGCCAAGCGCTTGCATGCAAGCCTAAGATCTTTATACGCAATGCCAAGTGTCGGCTGGAGTGGTGTAAAGCACGCGGTCACTGGACTCTGGAGTAGTGGACACGTTTTCTGGAGTGATGAATCACTCTCTGGCAGTCTAATAGACGAGTCTGGGTTTGGTGCATGCCAGGAGAACAAGTACCTGCTATAATGCACAGTGCCAACGCTAAAGTTTGGCGGAGGAGGCATAATGGACTGGGGCAGTTTTTCAGCACTTTAGCTCCAGTGAAAGTCAGTGCTACAGCTCACAAAGATATTTTAGTCACTTATATTCTTCCAACTTTGTGGCAGCAGTTTGGGCAAGGCCACCAAGCGAGCTCCATAAAGATATAGTTTGGTGAATCTGGTGTGGAGGAACTCCAGTGGCCTACACAGAGCCCTGACCACAACTCCACCGAACACCTTTGAGATGATCTAGAACAGAGATTATGAGCCAGACGTTCTCGTCCAACATCAGTATCTGACCTCATAAACGCTCTTTTGACTGAATGGCCACAAATTCCCACAAACACACTCCAACATCTTGTGGAAAGCTTCCCAGAAGAGAGGAGGCTGGTATAGCTGCTGAACAGTGTACGTCTATGCACAGGCCGCTTTATTAGATTGTGCTTCGATTTAGTTGCCAATTTAATGAAATCTCTTGTCATTTACAGACTTTTTTGTTATTTATATATAGAATAATAATGTCAGTCGCATGTTATACTGTTATTACTTATTAATTACAGTAATTGCAAATTTTGAGGGGTGGTGAATATGCAAAATATTGATTTTATATTATTGAAAACTTGGGAGGGAGGATGTTAATTCAGTGTATGTGCAGGATAAGAAAATGACTTACATGTGTCTGTATGTGTCATATGTCAATCAAATGATACTACCTTATGCTGTTTCTGCAGGTGGAAGTCTTCCTAAACCCCAGGTCAAAACAGCCTCTTTAGGGCAGGCTGGAAAAGCTAGATCACCATTACTGCCCGTGTCAGTCCCAACTGCCCCCGAAACAGCAGAGGAGGGCCAGAAACCACCTGAAGACCCTGCAAGTGTAAGCACCACACACACACACACACACACACACACACACACACACACACTGCTTCAAAGACCAGTCTTCCACAGAACAAGCTACTCAATAAAACATAAGAGTGTGATCATTAGCAGCCTGTCTCACCACTAAATCTGCCTTCTGACTCAGGAAAAGAAGTTGTTTCCAGTCATTGCGATTGGTTCCTACAGTGGAACATCATTAATTGTGACAATCTTCCGAGATGAATCACAAGAAGAGCTGTCATGTCTCATCCTGTGCGTTTCGCCATTAAAACCTCTAAGCCAGGTTCTAAACGTCATATCTAGGCTTTTCAACTCTGCAGGGGTTCTCCAGGAAATTCTCTAATAACCACAATGCTTATTATCAGATCACACGTTCCTGCTGCTGTGAATGTAAGACTATAGATGCCATTAGTGGGGTGTGAATAAGCCTGTTTGGCTTTTGAACGAAATTTATGGCTATTTTTTCTCCAGCTTGAGACCTTAACTTGCTGAAACTTCACTCTTTTCGCTTTATTAGACGTATAAATGCTTTGTGAGTGGGTTGGTGGATGGCGAATGGTATGATGTATTTATATCTTATATACAGTACTGTACGCAAGTGTATTTGAGATTATTTAACTCCTTAACAAGCCATGGGCCCACTGGCACGGGGCCTTTGTGTAAAATAAGCCTGGAATGCTAAGGGTTTGCACAATGCTTATTGGTGTGCATGACCTTCCTTTACTTGTTAGCTGTATTAGCCTCATAGCTCCAGTGTAAAATAAATAAGCAAACTTAAGACACTTAAGACCAAATTGTCCTCAAGATTCAAGAGATTCAAGCGTTTTATTGTCATATGGACAGTAAAACAGACAGTTACACCGGACAGTGAAACTCTTATTTTGCTCATCCTCCATTCACCAAAAAGTAAGACATAAATAAAGAGGCATTAATCAGTAAACTTAATTATTAAAATGACCTGTGCAGTATTGTGCAAAGAGCAGAGAGCAATGGTCATAAAGTGACAAAGGGCAGCGGTCATAAAGTGAACTGTGCATTATTGCAAATAAATGCCTTGGCAGCATTTCAGCAAACATGGACTCTACAAGTTTGTATAAAAGCCTCTAAAGAGTAGATCAAACGTATCTGAGAGTCGTCACAACATGAGCTTCAATGGGAGGAATAAGACAAAGAAAGGCCCTAACATGGTCACACATTTGCTTAAATTTGAGTGGTGGCCTAAAAGTTCAGTTATAGAATCTTGAATATTTTATATTTTTATATTTATATTCATTTGACCTGTTATAACATTTCTTTCTTTCCAAAATGTCAAAACAGTAAAACTTTGTTGTTTATTTCCAGGCTGGTCTTAGACTTTTGGACCCCACTGTATGTGTTGATGCATATTATTTTCACTATTTATTTTTGTGAGGGTTACTTATGTAGTGTTAGGCAGTATTAGGCAGGAGTTTGTGAACTTCATATCCATACCAATATAAATGATTTTAGATTATATAATACCTCCTTGCGCAGCATCCAGAAATTCAAAACCGGTGCAAACTCACCAACTCCCAGCCCTAAAAAACTGATTTAGTCGCCAGCAGGCAGGTTTGGGGGGTCCCACAAGAAGTAAAACCAAATTACAATTCATTTTGCTGGACAAATGTGTAAAATTATGGTCATATGTTGGACTAAAGTAGACTGAAGTAAAAGTTACCCAGCCTAAAATATGTCCTGACACCATTTATTTACTTTGTGTGGTTGTGTCCAACCACAGTGATGCTGCCCAGTACACTAGATCGTGAGGTTTGTTACAAATTTGTGCTTGGTATACAGAGTTTATCCAGAGGGCGGAGTCTAATGCTGAGCACAATGAAGATGGTCAGCTCATGTGAGGGCATTTATTTTGCCAGAAACCACAGTTCATTCAAGGCAATAACCCAGGACCCCTCAAATTCAATTATGTCTATCTTTTGGGAGTCCCTTTACACTCTTATGGGAGGCTCAGGAGCCCCCAGTTCAAACCCTGCATTTGGGGTAAGCAGTAAAACATGTACATTTGATTTTTGGCTAAACTATCACTTTAATCCTGCAGTGTGAAGAAGGCACAGCAGGAGTGCTGACAGTGACGTAGGTAACTTTAGACTTGCACAAAAACACTAGAGAGAGAGAGAGAGTAATGAGAAAACGACGGAGGGGGTAGAGGGGGAGATTGCAGGCCCTAAAGGTCAGCTGACGCCGCCCCACTCACACATCTGTATAATTGGTCTGGCCTTTCCCACATCACGGATGAAGTCGGGGAATAAGAGTCTCCAGATAAACACACTGACACCCATCAGACACTTAATACACTCATACCTGCCAATCTCACCAGAGGATCGTTCTGGAGAGAGGGGCTTATTTTTTGGTCAACAGAGTCCGTCTGTGATCACCAATGCACATCTTTCATAGGTAATGGGAAAAACAGGAATGTGATGATGGACACTATTGGTTTAGAAAGCAGAAATGATGGTTTTCTATGGGGCTGCATGATATATTGTTTAATAATCCTTATTGTGATATTGATTAAAGGCCTGTGACCAATCACAGTGTATTTCTATATCGCAAACATTTATAGAATATTTCTATGCCACAAAGTGGTTAATATTATAAATGTATAAGTAACAATTACATCACTTTTAACCATCAATAAAGGGGACTTACACCAGTTTTTCAACATCTCTGCATAATTCAGTGGTTGAGATGTACGCAACATCATCCAGAGTGGTTTGATGTGAAATGGTTCATTTGTAGAGAAACCTACCAACAGTGATGTCTTTACAGTGGTGGTGATAGGAACCAGGGGTCACGATCAGTGTGTTTACATGCACTCAATAATCCAATCATAATCATATTTCTGCAGTTATCTGATTATGCAAATTGTCATGTAAACACCACACTCTGATTTCTTAGATTGGAGTAAGGCCTAGAAATACGATTAAGAAATCCAATAAAGAGAACTGGATTTTAGTACATGTGAACTCTTACTCTGATTTCTTTCGGATTTCTCAGTCTGACCATGTGCGAAAACAGACGGCAGTACTGAAAATAAGCAAGCAGCTTTACCGCGAGATGCAGCAAAACACTTTTGGAGTGACACTGAAACCAAATATATGCTTAACGAAATAAAGGATTTAAATTTTCTTCATCTTATAGATGATGCATGTTCATATTTTCAGGTAAAGTGATGCGATGTTCTAAAAAAAGCCACGACATGAAGTTTGATTTTACATTATGTTTACGTCACGTCATCTTCTGTGAGTTTATTGGCTGGTTGCAAAGCAGAAATCCGATTACTGTCTGATTCATGTAGACCAGGAGTTTTCTTATTATCATTTACTTAAGTGATTGGATTGTTGATAAATTACTGTGTTGATTGGATTACTAATAAAATCTACAATATGTAGATTATGTCTACAATAGAGTATGTCTACAGTATGTCTACAATATATACAAATATAGCCATTTTATTTATTACCAAAACCACCATTGACCCTACAGGTGTCTTAAAAATAGTGGTAAATCTAAAAAAAAAAAACTTTTCTTTGGGGACTATTTTGCTGCATGTACCCCTCCACCATGAAAAATAAGCCAAAGTCTTCTCAAAACTAGCATAAAACAATGTCTCAGGCATCACATAGAATATTTGTACCCAGTAAATCTAATAGCGTCCTGTGATGAATCTTTTAGAGGCATTAAACTGTTCAGATGTCTGGCTTCTATCACCACTGTGAACAGTTCTGACTTGGTAAGTTTCTCTAAACTGGAGCATTTCACATCAAACCACTCTGAATGAATCATAAAGACTTTTTTAGAAGTTAGTGAAATTTTCCTTTAACAAACGATTACATTAATTAACTTGCAATTTATTGATGCCTCTTATTATAAAGTGTTACTGAATAAATTACTTTGGTAGTAAGTCTTTATTTCTGGTACATAATCGACTCATTGGTGCATTTCTTATTTAAATATTGCAAAACATAATGCAGTTGCAATGTAATTATTAATATTAGTACCTTGTCCAAGTCGTGCAGTGTTAGGTATCTATGTTTTTTTTTTCATAGCACACAAGCATAAGACAAGCATTAGCATAATTATGTTTCTCTTCTCTTTGTTGTGATCTAAATCTGTGACTACAATCTTTGTGCACTGAAAGCAAACCTTTGGAAAGCACAGAATGATCCCACCATTTGCTTGTACTTGTTTTTGTCCTGCCCCTTTTGTTGTCCACTGAGGTTCAGCTTTTTTACGAGCAAAAATGGAGCAAATAAAGCATAACCAGTCATACATGAATTATTAGAAACCAAGTTCAGGCCTATTGAAGTCATTTTGCAGCCCTCAAAGCTATTACACAAACTTATTTTTAAAATCGTGCTGCTTTGATCACTCTCATCTCCAGTGTACTCTCTTAAGAGCACCATGGGTCTCTGCAAGTTTGGAGTGGTGAAATCAGTTGTTCCCTGTGCAGGCAGAGGAAGATAGAGAGCCTATTCTGAGCTCACTTAAGCCTCACAGCTTGACAGTGAATTTCTCTGAGTAGTATGAAAGAGAAAAGTGTGACGTATTTCCTAATTCACTTTTTCCTAATGGGTCTCTCTGAGGTCCCATACACTCTATGTGGGTGTACAGCCTGAAATATTTGTCTGACCACAGCAGGAGTCTAGTCAGAATTTTGTTGAGCTACAGTCAGGTTCAGACAGAATGTTTTCAAGCTAGAGTTGGGTTTGCACAGAGGCTGTTTTTAGAATTTTGTTGGGCTACGGTTGGTTTTGGACAGAATTTTGTCAAGAGACGGTTGGAATCAGACAGAATTTTTTAAAATTTACAGTCCGGACAGATTTATTTCAGGCTCCAGTTGAGTTTGGACAGAATTGGGTCAGGCTACAGGCAGGTTTGGACAGAATTTGGTCAGGCTACAGTCAGGTTTAAACAGAATTTGGTCAGGCTACAGTCAGGTTTAAACAGAGTTTGGTCAGGCTACGATCAGGTTTAAACAGAATTTGGTCAGGCTACGGTCAGGTTTAAACAGAATTTGGTCAGGCTATAGTCTGGTTTGAACAGAATTTGGTCAGGCTACAGTCAGGTTTGAACAGAGTGTTATCAGGCTGCTTTTGGGTTCAGACAGAATTTTGTTGGGCTACGGTTGCTTTTGGACAGAATTTTATCAAGATACAGTCGGTTTCTTGGGTTATAGTCAGGTTTGGACAGAATTTAGGTTTAAACATAACTTTTTCAGGTTTTAGTTGGGTTTACACCAAATTTTATAAAGGTACAGTCAGTTTTGGACAATATCTAGTTGAGCTAGATTTTGTCAGGCTACAGTCGACTTCAGAGAGAAATTTAACTGGCTACAGTTTTGGACTAAATAGTTGGGTTATTTAGTTGGTGTAAGGGCTCAGCCTGCGCCGCTGGCCACCAGCAGAGGGCGATGTTCAAGTTCAGGGAACTCCAATTCACAGAAGCCCTCAGGCTGATTAGGCCCAACCTGGCACACCTGTGGACTCCACTACTTAAGGCTGTGGCCCTTTGTCACACCTTTGTAGAGGTGTGGACCGCCTTGGACCACCAATCACATTGGTGATTCGAGCCTGGCTCTGAGCCACCTCAACTCCAAATCGCACAACCACCCAATTCACACTCCATTTCCTCAATAAATTTATTTAAGAGCCTTTCTCATGGGTTTTCCTCCCTGCACCTGGGTTTGCCTCCCTGCCGTCCCATAACATTTGGGTTGAGACAGTTTTGTCAGGATTTGTCTAGGTAGAGGGACTTGGGCTCAGAGAGAGCTGGACAGTTTTTTCAGGCTACAGTCAGATTCGGACAGTATTTTGCTGGGCAAAAGTTGGTTTGGACACAATTTTGTTGGGCTGTGACTGGTTTTGGATTCTAAATATGATGCCATCAGGTTAGGCACAATGTTCTCTGGCTATATTCAGTTTCAAACTAAAATTGCAGACCCAATTAAAACCCTGTATGGATGTTTTTATGGAAGTGTCAGAGCTGGAGAATGTGTGTCAGTGGGGCATAAGCCTCTTAACCAACATTTTCCAAGTGATTGACATTTCTGGAAAGCATTGCAACAAAGTGCATTTAAAGGATATACAGTCAACAAAGAGCAATGTTTACTGTCAGTTTAACTGTCAAACTCAAAGCACTTAGTGGCAAACGGGTACACTAATAGATTACCAATGAGCGTCAAGCCTATTAAAGCAGTTCTGTTATTGATGCTGTTTACATGTAAGTGAAATGAAGTGCAGGTCAAGCTTAAATGCATTCCTCGGAAGCACTGAGAGTTTTCCATGCCAGTAGCCAGTAGCAGAATGACTGTGCCATGCATGGATTATTTTGTAGAGCATTTGTGTGAATATAAATACCAGAACGACTAGAATGCATGCATTTAATCTCTGCATAGATCAAATTTGTGATTCATGTAGTTTGTGTCTTTCAATGTGTCTGTAAATGACTTCCTTGAATACCAAAGCTAAATTCCAAAGCTTTCAGTTTGCTCCACTCCACTATTTGAGTCTGGCTTTCCTCCAAAAGCAAACCATTAGGGTGTAGCATTAATGTCAGGTCAAGACCCTTAGAATTATGCTGTTTTTGCTGTATTTAGTAATTTAGTGGTTGTGAGCTAAACTGTCCCTGTAGCTTAGAAGAACCAGACAAATTGCCAGACAAATGGCTCAAAATTGGGGTTTTGCCAGAGTGTAATAAAACCAAGGGCCCAACCTGTGGTACAATTCTATTTCTATCATACAGATTACAGTAGCTGGGCAGCCAAAGTAGACCTGCTCTGTTTAGTAATTTCCCTCACAACCTCTGAATAACTTTGAAAGTAGGGATGGTGGTGCAGTGGGGGGACAAACAAAGATTTTGGAAAGTGTCTCACATGTTCCCTTTGGAAACTGCACCAATAAGTAAAGATAGCATAATACCACTTTTCCTTCTCCGGTAACGATATTGAAACCTTTGGTTTCGGCCAATACCAAAACAGATCTGATTTTTTTTTCCTTCTACTAATCTTTAAAATGAGCAATTTCATTTGGAGCACTTCACTTAACATGCCCAACTAAAAGTAGGCTATCATGCTCAAACTACCACAAAACTGTACCATCCCGTATCAAGCTAAGAACATTAATTTGCACAATGTGTCCGTGTGCTATTTCACAACAGATTTGTTACAAGATTGGACCAAATTTGTTGTTTTATCCCAAATGATATCTCATCCAGTATTTTTGCTGCTATTGGCCCAATACTAATGCCCTGTGCAAGATCCTTTGGATCTCTGACTATGAACAAAACAGTGGTTGATTTTTGATAAATAATTCCATAAATGCTTTGTCTTAATTTTTATAGATTGTCTGTCTTTTTTTTGCAGGTATATGAACAGGATGATCTGAGTGAACAGATGGCCAGTCTAGAGGGGCTGATGAAGCAGCTGAACGCCATCACCGGCTCGGCCTTTTAACGTCCAGGGCGGACTGCATGCGTCCTGAACCCAAGTTTAGGCAGAGGAACGAGACACTTTGAACTGGGCCTGAGGCCTTTCGGACTCTCCAGTGTCCCACATTCCTTTGCTCTGGCGTTCGTTCCACTCTGCAGTCATGCGTTCATCGGCAAAACTCTGCGATGAGACCGAAAAAAGGGAAAATCACACAACAAGCTTGCAGGAGGCAGCGATTTTTTGTTTGTTTGTTTTTGTTTTTACATTGACCCCCATTTGGAGTTTTGGCCAACCTCGAGATGTTTCCTTCACCATAAAGTTCATCAGCAAAATCCTGCAAGGAGACAGATAAAAAGGGAAAAGACTCATAGGAGACAGTGTTTTTTGTCTTTTTTTTCTCAATCATCCTCCATTTTGGGTTCTCATTATGGGCCATCCTGAGATGTTTCCTTCGACATCACTTACCAGATCTTTTTGGCATTTTGTTTTGGGTTGGTGGGCGGAGCTATTTTCACTCTCACCACCTCTCCACCAGCATCTCCGGTGAAGGGAAGCTGGAGCAGACTCTGATCTCCAGTTTCTGAGAAGGAAACAAGTCTTTCACACTCTTCCATCATCCCACTCTTTGCTCAGGTCCATCTCTCTGTTGCTCAAACGTTCCCTCTCTCCAGACCTGCCCAGCCCACTGCTAAGGTCACCACTTTCTTGGCCTTTGCCAAAAATATCAAGCTTCTAAGGACATTCCTTTATGGACATCATGCCAATTTCTGTCTGCCAAGAATCCTAAACACAGGTTACTCTTATGTACTGCTTTCTGAGAAGAAGTGACACATTTGTTCATCTGCCTACATGTTTGCATCAACACTCAGCGGCCATTCATTTGGAGTGAAGCAAGAAGACCAAGTGATCTTTCCTTTGGACCCCTTTGGACCATATCTTGTGGCTAAAATGAAAGAATCCATTTTGTTCACAAATATACCTCGTTCCGATCTCACAGTTGACAAACTGTTACCGAGAGGTCATTTTACTGTGAAAACAAAAAACGATGCATAAATTATGTACATTTATTATATTGTATATTTTTACATCAACCGATTCAGTAAAAAGCTGCAACTATTTTTGAGGAACGTTAAAAAAAAAACATACAAAAAAAAAAAAGACAGGAAAAAATGCGGCTTGTAGCTCTCATGATCACTTTGTGCTGTTACAAATACTTTCCTAGTTACGAATACTTATAACCTGAAGCCTATAACCATTGAAGGTGGGGTGGGATGGGGGTTACAGAAGACACTGTGGTGCTGAAGGAATTGTGAGCCGTTATGAAAATAACACATTCTTTGACTTTGCCCCGCCCATATTTGGAGTTCCTGTGCTTTTTTTTTTTTCTCACAATTGGTGATGGGTAGACGTCTTCAGGATGAGGGAGGAGAGAGGGAGCAAGCGAAGGACAGCGATGGATGATGAGTGCACAGCAAACGTGGCGATCTGTTTTTATGATAGGGAGTTGTGTCACGTAAAGCGGCGAATACTGTTGAGTCAGCATGCTCTCTTCATCTTTCTCCTCACAATGCTATGTTTTTCTTTTCCATTTGCCCTTAAAATTGTGAAGGAGAAAAGCAAAGAAAAGTTTGTATGTGCCTATATTCTTAATTTCTTTGGTCTTTCCTTTCACAGTACTTTATTTATTTATGCAGTGTGAAAAACTTCTTTTTTTTCTCGTAATTGCACTTGCCTAAACTTGCAAGACACAAAAAAACACACACAAAAAAAATAGATTCTGTCATTCCTTCTGCCCAGAAAGATCAAGAGGCATGGCCCTACATTCAATATTTCTCTTGTAAGCTCTGTGTGTACTTTACCATGGACAAACGATCACTGTAGCAACACAAGAAAATGCTGTTTTTTTTATTGTACAGTACCATAGAGCAATTGAAGGGAAGACGGCTAGTTAAATGCTTTTGGGTTTTAGGGTTATGGGGGGTTTTGGAAAGTTTTTGGATGTGGGTGGGGAGGGGGGGAGGTGAAGGGAGGGTGGGGTTTCTACCAGGAAATTTAATATATTGTTTAGAGTGTTCCTCTCTTAATAATTTATGACGACAGTGTGATCATTTGGTTTATTTAGCCCATTAAAAACAAGCAAATCAAGAAAACCAAGTAGTGTCCACTGAATCCCCCACTCAGTGCTCAGGCAGATCCTCTGGCCTGAATAGTATTGGCAACCCAGTCTCAGTTGCGTGGTACCTGACCTTGTTTGTTGGCCCAGTGGTGGAAGATCAGTTACATCCTACTAGTATATATCCTACTCTTGGCCTCACATTAGACAACATCATGTGTCTTAGGATGCCTTTTCTTTTCATTCAATAATGGTTTTGCCCATTTGGCCTATGCATGCTCTGCACTCTTTCATAAGTACTTTGGTTAGGTTAGACAAGCTGGGAACGCTGGGGGAATTACCACTACACCTAATGAGAACTCAGCTTTTGTCAAAATCCCTACATTTAGAGGTTTTTCTGTCATTTCAAATGCTTATTTGCATGCATGTGAAAAGTCATATCAGTCAATCGATTGGATGCGGTTTTTAGTCCTGTTTCGAGGATAAATATGATCGAGTCCTGTTTCTCAAAGCACGTTCAACTTAGACAAACTACACTTCAGCTTCCTAAAGCCTAACAAATGCAACTATTTTTTACTTGATTTAACAACTTACATACCGAAACTGTGATTGAACCTGAAGGCCTGACGAATAGGCAATCATGTGAAACATGAGAATCAGCCCAGCGGCTTGTTTTTCAAAGAAGAAAGAAATCGTACCACTTAAATATGTAGAAGTTAAAGCATTTATAACTGCAAAAAGTAGTACTGTTTGCAGGTATAGAGCTCACTGGACTGAGAATTGCTTTATAATCCAGATATAAATATTTCTTCCACAAAAACGTGTCATGAAGCAAAACAAATTGACCCAAAAAACAATTTAGAAGTCCATATCCATCAGATGGCTGTCCCTAATTGGTCAGAATTTCACCTTGATTGGTCAAACAGCTTAACCTGCCCTGGAGCGTGCAGTTGCCGTGGTGATGGAGCCAGGTAAAAGATCCAATGTTGTTAGAATGCATTAGTCCAAAAGTTAAAACTACATCTAATGAAACACAAAATTAATCACTTGAAATGAATAGTGCAACCTAAATGCAGGTGTGTTCACAAAAGCTGAATTGTGTGCTACGGTTTCTCCTTAGTTTGAATGGGACTTTTGCTAGCATTCTGGAAAGCTTGTCTGGCCTAGCAACAGTTACTAAGAAAGATCACATTTGTGGGCGGAGCATGGATTGGTCACTTTTTTGAGTCTTAACATGCTTCTTAAGGTGAATTATATTGAGACAGGCAGCACTGGAAGCCAATGGAGCACTGGGGCTACCTAATTTGCCTTCAGTTGGTTGATATAAGAATGAGAGACCTTGATTCCTATAAAGTTTGAAGTTGGTTCAACGTTCCAGAAAGCATGCACTAGCTGCTAAAGTGGGATTTTACTCAAATCCCTAAACTTGGACACTTCGACTAGGGAAAACCAGCCCACTCTGCTAGTGACTTATACAAGTTAACAAGACAACTTCAACCGCAATGCCAATACTGTGACGCAAGCTTTTTGTACTCTTATTTATCCTGAATGGATTCTTTCTAACTGAGGTAATGAGGTGAGAAGAAGGCATCTTCTTATATGTATTTTGACTTCATCCTTAAATCGTCCAATTTTAGCGTTGTTAACCAAATTAGAGTAGTCACTGAAATATTAAAGTGTACATTTTGTTGCCATTTGAAAGGAAGGGGAGAACACTGCACACCTTCAAAAGTGAGAACACCCCCTTGGCTGTTTCTACCCACGACGTTGTATACAATTGCTGGTTTTGTAATGCACTGTAGAACAGTCTAATGGTCCTTTTTTATATAGAAATGTTATTTCAATTGTGCATTCTTTTTGTTTGATAAATAAAGTTTTTGATAATAAAAAAAAATAAGCAGCACTCAGTAGTATTTTGTTCTGTCACTGGAAGGTTTTTCTTACTATTAAAGTGATTATTCAGCTGATATCCTATTGCTGGGCGATACGTCATCTTAGCTTATCTTCTTAATTAAGAATTAACTGCAGTGTATAGCATTTAATGGGTAATAAAAACTTAGTTAACATCAATATATAGCATTTAATGGGTAATAAAAACTTAGTTAACATCAATATATAGCATTTAATGGGTAATAAAAACTTAGGTAACTGCAATGTATAGCGTTTGATGGGTAAGAAGGACTTGGTAATTGCAATATATGGTGTTTGATGGGTAAGAAAAACAGTTAACCACAGTGTATGGCATTTGATTTGTAAGAAGGATGATGTTAACTACAATAAATGACATTTGATGTGTAAAATAACTTAACTACATGCCATAACTACAGTGTATGGCATGTGATGGGTGATTCAGATTGGTTTTAAAGAAGAGAATACATTTACTAAACTACATGCATTGAGAGATCTCCTTCAAAATAAATTTCTTTCAGAATACATCATTCATGTGTTCATATCTTGGAGCGCTATTACCTGGTTGACCTGCTTGTTTCATGTGACTTATATCTCGATCATAATTATATTTTAACCACATGTATTTACGCTTGGTAGTCAAATGCGTCTCAGGTTAGTCAGAAATCTGATTGCTATGTATTGTATTCAACAATCAGCTGCTTATTTTCCTTTTCATCAAAATTATAAACATCAAATATTCCAAAATAGTCCAACCAAAAAAGCTATGTGGACACGATTTTAGCATACAGTAGCAGTACTAAAGAAGCATAGGTTCATTATCTTTATTAATGCACTTCGATATCATCTGTTGCCATGATATATTTGTCCAAATGGCCCCAAAGTTTGACCAATTCTAGAAGGTTTAAGAGAAATTATATGCCCTTTTAAAGGTATAATGCCAGCGCCTGATCCAAGAAGCATCCATCAAATTGCTTCTGAGCACCACTGAGCATTGTCTCTATCACAGCCACATAATATGTTGTCACATGTGGTGTTCAGCACCTGCTGAGGTGAAAAATAGCATCATAACCTGAAGGGGCCTTTTGCAAAGCAATAGCAGAGCAGATGCCTGGTTAATGAGTGTGATTAACAGAAGACTAGCCTAATGCTAACACATTCTAGACGTGATGTTCTTCTTGGCTGATGAAAGAGCCTTCAGTAATAAAGCTCACCAGGACCTCTTAGCAGGTGCAGTGTCATATGGTGGACATCCTAAAGCCTCAGTGAAACCTTCTCACCACTTTGTTTGCCAATTGAAAAGTAATATTAAATAATTAAATGCTAACCCTAAGACTGCAATTTGCGGGCAAAACGATGGGTCACTTCTAGCCTTCGTAACTTTAGAACGGTTTAAGATGCAAACATGATCCACATATCAGGACATTCAGCAGACCCGCCCCTAACTGGCAGTTTGGAAAATCACCTAAATTCCTGATATTATTGCTCTGCTCTTTGGCCTTCATATTCCAACAACGGGTTAAAACAGTGACATGATTCACTCATCAGATCGCTCATCAGACTCTGCCTCACCATCCAGAGTGATCTCATCCACCTGTGACCATCAATCAGCCAGAGATCAGCTCCAAAATCACCCAAACCCACTCACTACTGTTATATTACATCTCTGCTTTTAGCCTTCATATTATAAACAAAGGGCTTTCAGTTTACATTGATTTTGAGTATTAAAAATATCTGATATTAAATATGAAACTCAATCTGTAATTAAAAATAAAGGCTGTCTTGCTGTGTATCAGAGTTTTAGCACTCAGACTGAATCCAAGAGGACAGAAAATCAATAAAAACATGTTTACCTTACGCTAACTGTTTATTTTTACTCATAATAACCAACAGAATGAATCACCATCAGAATTATTGTACTTTCAGCTCACAGACACTCCAGACTAACAACTTCTGAGAAGATAACTACAACTGCGCTTGTTTTCAAGATCTCTTTAATTAAAAAATACAAAATTTAGCGAAAATACGGCGCCACCTACAGACTACAACTCTTTGTTTCAGAAGTGACATGAAAACATGGGACAGCACTTTTTTTTATTTAAACTGTTTTTAATTAAAAAATCAAACTTGTGATGAATATAAATCTTTTCATTTAACTTTGAAAGAAACAATAGGTATTTTTAAAAAGCACATTTAAATTATGTAAAAAAAAACAAATATATTGTTTTCACAAGTTGAAATTTAGAGGTTAGGGTTTAGGACCCCCACTTCCCTATTGAAGGTACCCTATAAAAGATGCTTTTGTATTTATTTAGGTCATTACTATCTCTATTGATGCCTTGAGTTTAAATGCTTTATAACAGTTAATATCTGAATAACTGTTTTTTTAAATGTTCTTTTTACTGTGGGACTGCAGTTTGGACTAATTTGGTAGAATAATCCATATACAGAGAGGATATTAATTTCACAAGATTTTGTATCTACTTACACACTGCACCCAGGGGAGAAAGGCAGACACCCGGCTGAAGATAGTGGCTTGCCTGTTGCATTCAGCACAATGCACAAAACTGGTGAGACCGTGGACCACATATTGGCCGCTGACTAGACAGTTCAGAGGGCCGCCAGAGTCACCCTACATTGAAAGACTAGGTCATCAGCCTCTGATCCTTTGAACTACATATCTTTCAAAGTTTTTCTAAAAATGATATTTTGGTAAATGAAGCTTTATTGTGGGGTAAAAAAGCAAGCTGCTCTCACATAGCAGCCATAATTACTCCCACCTCCAGCACAGATCATGTTGTCTTTCACAGCAGAACCCCACCAGGCACAAGAGCAAGTAGGGAAATCTATGATGGGCAGGAAGGCCTGCTTCAGTACTACTGAGGGCAAACCACCAACTGCATGTAAGGGAGGGAGAGAAAGGAAATAAACATGAACTCATGGCTTCAGGTATCCATTGTTATAAAACACAAAGACAGAGTCTCAATGACTTTGCATTAAATTCCTGCTGAGATTTTATTCTCTAACCTCAATTTCAATTTGTTTCTCTGTACTAGAAAGGAATAGAAAACGTGTTGACTTGAAAATCCTTCACTTGACATGTTACCAACCAACTTTTTAAAAAACGTGTTTCACTCAATAGAAGCGGACGTACTTCAGATAGTAAACACCTCACTCCTGTCGGGCAATTTTCCAAAGCCTCTCTTAAAAAAGAAAAATCTAGAAGCAACAATATTGAGTAATTAAAGACCGGTTTCAAATCTACCTTTCATTGGAAAAGTTATTGACAAAATTTCTTCAAGCAACTTTGTCACGCCTCCCTCAGACCTGGCTGTGCCTACAGCCAACTCAGGACTCTCTCAGATCCATCTATCCCCGTTTAAGTTCCCCTGACTACTGATTAACCACGCCTGTCACTTGTTACAAGTGTTTGTTAGTTAAGTATATAAGCCAGGGCTTTAGCTTTAGATCTTTGTGAAGTATTGTCACACGTGTACGTGCCGAGCATTTCCTTTCTGCCAGTTTCTGTCTCTTTGTGTATGACCTGTATTTTGTTTGAGACCACAATTCAAGCCTTGCCCTTTTGTCCTGTACTGATTCTCTGGTTTTCGACCTTCTGCCTGTGTATGCCGACACATTAACACTGCAGAGGACAACAAAAAGAAAACTCATTTCACACACAAATCACAAATCAGAAAAACATTTATGTCAACTAGTACATTAAGGTAATTTATATAAGACAGTGTTGCTGCTGTTTACCCATCTACACAGCGAGCAGTGGTCATCACCCACTTGTAGGGATGCCTGTGGTACAAACAAAATCAAAGCAATGGAAAGCAAGCGTGACACAAGATACAGACTTTGGGCAGGATATTTTGAAGATAGCGTTCATAGATAATGACAAAATCTACAAAATTACCAGGCATCTTCACCAAAAGAACAGATACAGAAGTGTTCCTCTTGTGCTGTAGAAACACTGTTTACTTGCCATGGCCAAGAGTTGGGTCTTGCCGCTTCACCGCTCACAACTCTGGTCTGAATTTTTTCTCAGGCTGTGGCTGAGCCAGCACCATCACTGAAAGAGATCACAAAATTCTTCAAAGTTCTACCAGAAAAACTAGAATTCTTACTGAAGAAGGTGGAGAATTCTTATGAAGCACATTTTTAGCATGTCTAAATCTTAACATGTGTTAACATACTTTCTATTAAGTGACCCTTATTAGTCCCACAGTTGGGAAATTTCACCTCCGCAATCTAACCCACCCGTGCAGTGAAACACCACATACATACTAGTGAAGACACACACTAGGCAGGCCTATCCCAGGGAACAGTTGGGGGTTAGGTGCCTTGCTCAAGGGCACCTCAGTCACAGACTGTCAGCTCAGAGGATCAAACCAGCAACCTTCCGGTCGCAAGGCTGGTTCCCTAACCTCCAGCCCACAACTGCCCCAAATGCTAAGTGGAGAATGCGGGTAGATGAGGTACAGATAATAAATGCATGTGAAATAATGCCTGTATTTTGCACCAACATTCAGTCAGGACTCACCAGGTAGAAGACTTTTAGCGTCTTTGCAAATGTTCAGAGCAACATGCACACCAGAAAGTTTTGAAGGCTTTTATACAGTAAGGCGCTTACATCAGTGTTCTTTGTTGTTGTTTCAATTATTACTCAATGGCATTCAGTGTGTACATGTGAAACCAGACTCTGGGAACCTTGCAGCTGTTGAGTGTGGCCATTTCAAAGCAGGGTACTCCTGGTAGTTTAGAGTGGTTAATGTCTTTCTTTTTTCAGACATTTTTTTTTCATCTCACCTCAATAGAAGTTATGCTTGGCCTGCTTCTATTGTACTACTCTCAAAAGAAGTGAATGACTATGGTGGCTTAGCAAAACTCAACAGCGGTTTATACAATTGGGTAAAAAAAAAAAGTCTTGGCACATTGATTCTTTTGGGAACCCAAGACCTGTATCTGATCCGTTTGTTATGAAACTCAAGACAAAACATGTTAACCTGAGCAGGGTTTTCAGTCAGCAGCTGTGACAGAAGAACACCTAAACAACCTGGAATTAGCTAGAAATGAACACAATACCATTCGCCAAACGTGTAGTCTGATCTTCAGAGTCTGACCAAATCAGACTGAGCCATAAAACTGCCACAATATCAAGTTCAGCTCAGTTTTGTCAGTTTTTGCCAGATCAGTATTAATGTTGTTTTGTTCCAGCCAGTCTGTAAAGCATCTTACAGCCCGTTTAGTTTGGCGAATGGTATTGGGTTCATTTCCGGCTAATTCATGCACAACTGATGCCCCTTAGCCATTGAGTGCCCAGTTCATTCATTTTGTAGACCTGGCCATGCCTTTGCAGCACTGTGTACTGCTTCTGTTATTGGTATTTAGAAGAGAAAAAACAAAATAGTCACAACAGTATACAGCATACAGAGCAGTACTCAAAAGCATGAGTTTATTAATTTTATTAATGCATTGACTTAAATATCATCTGAGGCCATTATATATTTGAAAACTATCACAATACCAAGTTAAATGCCTCTGTTGAATGAATTATTACTTAAACATGACAAAAAAGTTTTAATGTGGTTTTATTATTTAAAATTGCTTAAATTATGAAAATATTTGATTAGTTTTTAAGGGGGTAGCTGTGCATGAATTAGCCGGAAATTAACCCAACACCATTTGGCAAACAAAATGGGCTGTAAGATGGTTTACAGACTGGCTGGAACAAAACAACATTAATATTGATCTGGCAAAAACTGACAAAACTGAGCTAAACCTGATATTGCGTCAGTTTTATGGCTCAGTCTGATTTGGTCAGACACTGAAGATCAGACTACACGTTTGGCGAATGGTATTGGGTTCATTTCTGGCTGATTCCAGGTTGTTCAGCTGTTCTTCTGTCACAGCTGCCGACTGAAAAGCTGCTCAGTGATGATGACAGTTTGGGAATTTAGTGTAAGGAGCTGGAGAACGAACTGCCAGCTGTGCAGCGAGTGGGCGGAGTTCGTTATTCTGATGTAGCAACAAGCTGCTTGTTAAAGAACTATAATTTGGTGGAAGCGAACATTAAAACATATTAAATGCCACGATCACAGCCCAGTTTATTTTTTGTCTTATTATATTTATTTAGTTAAGTTATTTCTTACTTTATTTATTAAACTAAAATAAATAAAGTTTATTTAACTTTATATTAACTACGGTACAGATTTGTAATGTTATCAAATATTTGTCCACTTAAAGGAAAAAGAACATTTTCCCACAAATAAATAGTAAAATGTGAATTATATATTACTGCCTTTTAGTAAAATTGAGATACACAAATTGTTGCCATATGGCAACACCATGCAATAGAGGGATATCAATGCAGGATAGCACTATAATACCCGTGAACCAATGTGTTTGACACATTTTAGCAAGATTTGTAGAAACAATGTTCCCTTCAAAAGGTGTAATGCTAGTGCCTAATTCAAGAAGCATTCATCGAATAGCTTCTGAGCTCCACAGGCTATTGTGTCTCTACCACAACCACATATTATGCTGTCTTGTGTGTCCTTTAGCACCTGCTGAGGTGGAGGGTAGCATCATAACCCTAAGTGACTTTTTGCAATGCAATAGCAAAGCAGATGCCTGGTTTATGAGTGTGGTTAATAAGAAGACTAGCCTAACACATTCCAGACATGAAGCTCATCTCAGCTGATGTTACAGCCTTTCCATTGAAATATGGCACTGCCCAACAGTCTATAAACTGAGATGTGTTGTACCAACAGGGCTTAGGCTGGCTTTACATGGTGAAACCTTCATGCAACTTTACTTTCTTGAAACCTACATGAAACTGTAAGGGCCCAGCCTGCACTGCCGTCCACCAGCAGAGGGCGACGGCAGTGAGGCGCCACAAGTTCAGGGAACTCCAATTCCCAGAAGCCCGCGGGGCTGATTAGGCCCAACCTGGCACACCTGTAGACTCCTCTACTTAAGGCTGTGGTAAACAGCAGCCCTTTGTCACACCTTTGCAGAGGGGTGACTGGTATGGTACTTAGCCCAGGTGGGTATTTAAACAAAAAGAAAACAAAAGGAAAACAAAAAGAAAAGAGGCCTGGAAAAGCAAAAGAGAGAAATGGCCCCAAAACTACTTAAAAGCCAAAAAGAAGGCTTAAACAAGGAACGGCTCCAAGTCTAACAAAAAGTGTTTGCTCCACAAAGAGCAAACAGGTGAAACATAAAGTTCACCTTCCTCTCAGAATCACAGAGGAGGTGTTTTTTGTTTCCTATTTATCTTTTATTTCACTTTTCTATCTCAGCCTTTGTTTGAGCACACTGCGTTTTCTCCTGTTTTCGCCTGTGTTTCCTGGTGGCGCAGCCATAACTCCTCTGACCGCCAATCAGTATGTTGGTGGTTCAAGCCTGGCTCTGATCCACCCCAACACGCACAATCACCAAATTCACACTCCACCACCTCAATAAATTCATTCAAGACCCTTTCTCACAGGTTTTCCTCTCTGCACTTAGGTCCGCCTCCCTGCTGCCCCGTGACAGAAACTTAACTGCACTTGTCGTATAATGTAAAGCAACCTGCAAGTCACTTGAAACTCCGCTGCAACAACTGCAAGCGGATCAACATCTTGAAACAGCCAAACAAAATGCCAATAATGCTTCACCTGATAACAACTTACTTTAAAATAGGGGATTTCACAGGATAAATTGACAAAAATAAATGGAGGTTCACTGGGTGGTTGAAAACAAGGCCCTCCTGACTGGCTGAAGGTTGGTAGTTCTTCATTTTTTCAGTTTCCTGAGCCATGACAACAATCATTCTCTGTGATAACTAGCTGGCTAACAGTAACAGCTGTTTAAATGGCTGCTTGTACCAGTGTTTATGCTTCTTTAGCCT